CCCCAAAACCCCAAAACCCCAAAACCCCAAAACCCCAATCTTTTGAAATAGAGTTGAGTTAAATTCTGAAGCCCAGAAGAGAAATTTTGGGCTAGAGTAAATTTTTGGTAAGAGAGGGGTATCCATGAGGGTGCTAAGGGGATAGGGAAGAATTTAGGGCCAATTTTTTACTGGAAGAATATGTTATAGGTGGTGTTATTTCTCTGTCTTATTCCGATGCTTTCTCAATCTAGGCCTATCTTGTCACTAATGTCCTCAAGGATGAACTTGCAGCCTTTATTACTGAATTCAAGGAAGAAAGATAATTTGTTAATGCAAGATTTAGATAATTGTTGTAGGAGAGTCCTGACCATTGAGTGTATATCTTTATCGGAGTCAGAGATGCCAATAGAATCTGCAACTGAGATAATCCTTCGATGAACAACTGAGAGTTAAGGATTTTAACCATACGGAGATGCCTTCCTCCAATGATCACTCTTTTCAATTCTTTTCTATTCAGCACAAAACCATTGATGTGCACTTGTAGTGTTATGAAACTTAGAGAGGAGACAACAGCTCTAGATATTTTTTTGAATAATGGGAGTTTATTTGGAATTTGAAAAATAAAACTGAGCTCTTTCGACTTTATAAGGAAAGCATAAAAGCTATATCTTAAGACTCAGGGCTTACTACTTTCTTGTTGATTTCCTTCCATTTCTTTGTATTGTAATCGATATATATTTCCTCAGTTTTTAAAGTCTTGAGGTCTTTCAGCGGCATTTTCTTACAAAAACCTGGCTTTCCAGATATTAACATGTAAAATAGTTCATGAGCCTCTTCGTATTCACATTCACCCTCTTCTTCATCATAATCATATATTTTAACTATCCTTTCTGGATGTAAAACCCAATGAAGAGCCTCAAGCATGAACTCCTGCATCATTGGGGTTTCCATATATATGATAGCACCTTCGGTAGACATTTTATTTAACTGTTACCATTTTTAAGAGAAATACAGGGGTTTTGGGGTTTTGGGGTTTTGGGG